GTTGCGTCTTGAGCGCTAACTCTCTCGCTCACTCACTCTCTCTCTCCCCCCCTTCCATCTCCCCCTCTCTCTCTCACTCCGTCCTCAGCCTTACTCTACTCTTCTTACTCCCCTTCCCCTACTCACTGGCTCACTTCTCTCTCACGCTAGCCCGCCCGTGAAAGAAGAGCTGGAAGAGTCGAGACCCCCGCTCTTTTTCTCGCACGTGCAGTCAGTCACCCCTAGTATATTATTTACCTCCTGTGCCCCGGTCCTAGAATGAGCAGTTCTTATCAATGACTAGAGGGGAAACCCGCATGGTGAACCGTTCAGACTCCTTGAAAAGGGTGGGTCGTCATAAGAAGACACAGTTGTTTCGAGAATAGTGTGTGAATCGGGATTTAAAAAAAATATTTTTTTAAAATTCGCTGTGATATCTGTCATCGTAATAATATTAACTGCGAGTGTTTTATGGATGGATGGAAGGATGCTGTGAATCGACGTGATTTGAGCAACGATTTGATACGTTTTTCGAGATGGATGTGTTGTGTTCGTTTTTTGGATACATTGTACCGTGAATAATAGCAATTGCCGGCCTCTTTCGAGCACGATTGTGTGCGATTTTCGTTGGATTTGATTTACTGGATACTTACTCATCAGGTGTGTTCGAAGTCTGACGTAGATGGTGGTACCAGTGGCCAGCACTACATCATTTCTTTTGTAATTTGTCATTTTGAAATACTATCTGTGATTCGACGACTTCTCATAGTGTAGAGAGGTTGCTGAGAGTCTGATTTCTCTGCAGGCTGTATTGTTCACCTGGATTTTGGAGAGCCACATAGTGTATTTTTTTGCTCTTTATGTCGTGCTCATATTGTGATGTTGAGCTTAGATTGTTCTTTTATTGAGGGTTGTTGATTGTCCTTGAAGATTCAAGATTGTTTGTAAAAATTTCCCTTTTTTGTGTGTGCGTTTCTTGTGGAGAAACGAGTTCAGATTTGGTTTATTAAACTGTCCTTCTCACCTACGGACTGACGCCAGTTCTTTTCTTTTTTTTTGGGTGTAGGTATTGGTGCCTATGCCTGTTTTAATACCCTCTAAGTGGTACTGGGTATTTAAGATTACATTAATTACAATTCAGGAAATCTGAAGTTGTCACCATGGTGATCGAGACGCGAAGTATCCCCTCTTCGTCCCCTTACCCCTCCCCGCCACAGCTGCGCAGCTCGGAGCGGACCTTGGTCGACTCCACGCCATGCTCCCCTCGGATCCGAACCAACCTCAGGCTGGCCGCCTCGGTACCCTGCAACCTGAACCAGCTGGCGGTGTCGTCGGCCCAGCTGGTGTTCAACACGCGTCCCCTGTTCGCGTCCCGCTCCTCCTCGGGCGCCTCCAGCAGGGTCCTGCGCTCTTCCTCCTCCACCACCGCCTCGGAGAACGAGGAGAGCGACGCGGCCGGCTCCCCGGTCAACACCCAGAGCGGCAGCCCCTTTTTCACCTCCACCGCCAGTGTGGTTCAGGCGTCATCGCCGTCGTCGGGCACTGCAACTCCGCAGCCTCTGTCCCCGAGACTTATTGTCAGTAGTAGCTGCAGCGGCAG